TATAATATATATATACTGCAGGCAGTGAATGCAGCAGTATAACGTGGGGTGTATAGACACCTCAGGGGGAGGCCAAACCCTAAACCCTAAACCCTAAACCCTAGAAAACAAAATAAATAAAACGTAACAACAGATACAGCCGCTACAAACGTCGACCCCCCCCTAAACCCTAACCTAGAAACTGCTGCTGCTGCTCTTGCAAAGCTAAACCCTAAACCCTAAACCCTAAACCCTAGAGCTGGTGAGGCGGATAGCCACTAACGAAGCCCCACACCCCTAAACCCTAGACAACTAAACTAAATCCCAAGCAGCCACCCTTTATCTCTGTATACCCTAAACCCTAAACCCTCATTCTACACTGTAAACCCTAAACCCTAAACCCTAAACCCTCACTGTACACAGCAGCGACTAAACCCTCAGGAAGCGTTACGGGGGTTCCGCATCAGAGAAAAGATCAGTTCTAGCAGCAAAAGGTGCAGCAGCAGCAACAGCAGCATAAATTGCTGCTTTTGTTGCTGCTGCATCCGCCTCTCAAACACTACACTTGCTGCTGCTGCTGCTGCTGCTGCTGCTGCTTTTGCTGCTGCTGTTGCTGGAGCAGCAGTATCAGCTGCTGCTGCATTTCACTTGCTGCTGCTGACCCCTCCCCCTCTCTCTCTCTCTCTCTGTCTCTATCCCCCCCACCCCGTTTTCTTATAAACCCTATCCATATAGCCGCTGTTCGTTGCTGTCTCCATCCTGCTGCTGCTGCTGCTGCTGTTTCCGCGCCTATTCCTAAATAAATAAATAAAGATAAATAAATAAATAAACTTATAGTTCTTTACAAGCAACGATTTTTTCTTTTCCGCATGCAGCCAGCACGGAGACAAGAATACCTTTCCCTTCAGCGAATAAACTTTTGATTTGTTGAGCGACATCATCGGGGTTATTATCTGAATCTTTGGGTAGAGTGAGGTCATTTTTTACGTCTCCATTTTCTAATAAAAGAGAAACAAAACCATCATCAGCAACATCTATAAGCTGGTATTCTGTTCTTTTTACATTCGGTACCTCCATATTGTGAGATGTAGGACATATATCTTCGTATTTTTTTCCTGTGAAGATATCCAGCCCCACTATGTGGGCCTTTGCATGCCCATGCTTTCCTGTTTT